AGATTACCTACATAATGTCTACACTCAGAAAAATAAAGAGATGAAGAGAGTAAGAGCTTCACTGTTGCCTCTCTTGACTTTGTATATGTATAATTCTTAATTATTTGATTGTAATACACCAGCATTTTGGAGATACGCAGCGATAGCTATTACGACAAGTTACACTGCCAACACTTCATTCTAGATGCCAATCAAACTGTCAAAAAGCTGAACCAATATAAAAAGAAGGTCAATATGAATAAATTATATTATAGCTCTTAACTAGAAAGGTATGCACAGAAGTTATCAAAATACAATAATCGTAACGGGATACATAAATAACAGTGCTGAAAAATTTTCCATTTATTTAAGTGCTTAATGACTGTTCTTTACACTTTACATTGTTTGATAGCGCTTTGAAGAGATAGCTTTCATGCTTTACACTCCAACTCTCATTCTTATACCCTGCACAGGGTCTATTAAGTTTGCCACGAAGTTTGCAACACCCAGAAGGAAAATCGGAGACTATAAAATATTATATATACATAAATGATTAGAACGAAAAGTTGCGTCGATTTAGCCATATCCGTCTATCCGTTTGTCAGTCTGTATGTACGAGAACTAGCCTTTTGTTTTTGAGATATCGATCTAAAATTTAGCGCACGTTCTTTTCTCCCCAAGAAGCTGCCCATTTGTCGGGACTGCCGATATCGGACCGCTATAGCATATAGCTGCGGTGCAAACTGAACGATCAGAATCAAGTTTTTGCGTGGAAACTTTTATATTTATGTAAAGGGTATTATACGAAACGATTAATTGAGTTATCTTTCGAACGTCGATTCGAATTAATCATTAAATTAATTGTCAAATTAACGTGTTACAGCAGATAAAAGCTGGATGTGTGACAAATTAGAAACATTCTAAAGCCACTTAAAAAGCTTTGCAAAAAACGACTACAACAAAAAATACGAAAGCAAAAAGAAAAACGAATGTCGAGTAAAATATTGCACAATACGAGTATGGGGAAAAATAATGACGCGTGTTGTATTTGAAATAAATGAAATGACAATGTCGTGGCGACCTTCGCACGCTAACAAATATGTATGTACATACCAACAGAGGTGATGAGACGAAAAGAAACAAAAATGCAAAAATTAACGTGAATGCAATAAAACGTGTTTGAAAAAGGTTAGACAAAACAAATTTGCCATGATATGCTGAGAGTAATACATAAAAAATATTTGCATTTGTAGGCATGTACTGCAAATGCGATTAACAATTCTCCCAGTGCAAGCTTAGTGAAATGTCTGTATGTCAGCATGGAATAGATATAATATATATAAATACGTAATAAACGTGGAAATTTCGCAGTTATAAATGTGTACGACTACATGGAAAGCATTGTCTGTGCGCCATGGCGTATGAGTGATTTAACTGCGGTAATTGCGTACTTAAGTACCGTAGTGCTTATTATAGCAATTGAAAGTTTGATTTGATACACTTTTGCAACTTTTACAAGTGTGTAAGTTTGCGTTTAAGTATTTACTTAAGTATGTATATATGCACGTAAGTATGTAAGTTTTAATGTAGTATGTATGTTAGTTCGCTTGTTAGTACATAAGTAATTATACCCTGAAAGGGGTATATTAACTATAGCATATAGCTGCAATACAAACTGACCGATCCAACTCCAGTCTTTGCATGACCAACTTTTTTATTTAAAGCGATATATTCACGAAATTTGGCACGGGTTATTATTAAAGGCATCGCTACGATCTCCGAAGAAATTGTTCAGATCAGACAACTATAGCATATAGCTGACATACAAAGTGACCGATCATAATCAAGATAGAGTATAACCCTTTGAGGCTATAAAAAATGCACCTGTGAAGGGTATTATAGTTTCGGTGCTGCCAAAGTTAACGTTTTTTCTCGCTTTTTATGTAAATATGTAAGTATGTACGTAAGTTTTCATTTAAGTAAGCATGTGCGATTTTGTTCATTTTGAACATTTCCATCGATTACACAATGCCAATTTGTCTGCCATTGATAAGTTTTGCTCTTGATTTGCAAATATTTTACACTTATTATAATTACATACAAACATAAGCTTATTGCAGCCACAGACAACCAATGCGGGCGTTGAGAAATTTTTTCAAACACGAGGCATGTGTTAAATCATTCGTCGAATAGCGAGCTTGTGAGGGAAATTTCAGTTTTACAGCGTGTAATTAATGTAATCGTGCGTATGGCTGCGTATAAGTTTAAATAATTTATCTGTGGTTGCTTATTTTTACAGCATATTCACACTTACATAGATATTAGATATTTTTGTTATATATATGTATGTGTGTGTGTATAAGTAGTAGATATGTGTATACAATTGTGTGACTATTTGTATTTTAACTGATTTATGCCTTATGTGGCAATATGCCAACAACAATAACAACAACTACTAGCCCTACCAAAGAAGTGTAGACGGCGACGACGACTACGACCTTCGCACGAGCTTAAGTGTAGAGAACAAGCGAAAACCAAAAGTGTATAAAATCAAATAAAACAAGACAGGAAATTGCTTGGCACAAGCAAAATATGTAATAAAATATACAAACGGTGCATACACACACATGCATAAGTAGAATACATACATATATACATCCATAAGTAGACGCTGTGTGTACGTAGTAAGCGCTCATTTTCAATTTGAGGGAGCGGTTGGTGGTGAGCTTTGTGTTGTATTGTTTAAATTAGCCAATCCATCTATAAAACCAATTTAATTTAATTAAATGCATGATTGGGAACTTTATTCAATACAAAAATAAATTAAGAAAAATAATTTCATGGACAATAAAATAGTAGTTTGCAATGGAATAATATGTTATTAGGAAATTATAAAATATCAAAAAATAATAAAATAAATAGTTTGATGAAAGGAAATCGAAATAATTGAATATAATGCATCAAATGTTTTGTAAATATTTAGTTTTAAGTTGCGGTATTTTTAATTGAAGGTTATTTTCGTTATTATTTGTTTGTATTGAGTATCTGAAAAAATACTAGAAAACAGGTTTTCGTATATGTGCTTCAAAGGGCACTTTCAAGGGCAAATTCATTGGTGGTAATGGATTCACCGGTAGACACCAAAGACCAAGGACGTTATCTAATGAACCTGCTTTTATCGACGAGAAGGTTCCGAACACCGTTTTCCGGGATTCAAAAGAGGTGATCTACATCAACTACCTGACGATTAGATCTGACCTGCACTCGAGAATACTATAAGATAGTATCAATCAAAAACCAACGTTTTCAACTTGGAAGATATTTACAAAGTGTCGCTTTTCTTAATCGATTAAATAATTTAAGGATCTTTGCTTGTCTACGATTAACCTTTTTAGAACATTTATGTATATAATTTTATATATACCTATAATACATGTCCATATATAAAAAAATTTATGTAATAACAATTATAATTTTAATAATACATTTCATTGATTTTTAGACCCTGAATATGGATATGGCATGTTAAGTTTGCCACGATGTTTGTAACAACCAAAAGAAAAAGCCGCAGACCCTCTAGGGTACATATGTACGTATATAAATGATCAACATGACAGGCTCAATCGATTTAGCCATGTCCGTTTGTATAGAAGAGAACTAAGTGAGATATCGACCTGAAATTGTACACACGTACTTTTCTCACTCAAAAGCTGCTTATTTGTTGAAACCGCCGATATCGGACAACTACGGCATATAGCTGCCATATAAACTGACCGATCCAACACAAGTCCTTGTGTGGAAACTTTTTTAGGCGGCATAATATCGTCATGAAATTTGACAGAGATCTCAGACAACGCTTTTATGCTATAAAAATGCACCTGTGAAGAATATTACAGCTTCGGTGCAGTCGAAGTTAACGTTTTTTCTTGTTTTTATTTTTTTTTTTGCATACGGCGCCTGAAGTTAAAGTTTTACTTTGAAAATAAAGAACTTTTTTACGTTGGATAATTTTTTAGGGTCAAAACTAAAACTTTAGGCGCGTCTGCAAAAAAGTTCAACTTTGGAAACAACGCACACCTTAATATATATACACACACATAGTAATACATAAGGCAGCATAAGAATTTTTATGATGCGATAACATGCTTCCAACTATAAACAATAAAAGAACTATGGTCAAGTCAAAAAATAAACACTTACATACACGCACACATACTTAAATATATATGTATGCATGTTTATACATACTTGTATACTTTGTACATAGTTATATGTTTCTATTATTTATATACATATATATTATATATTATTGTACGCCAACGCGTGCGCAAAGTAGTGTGGAAATTGGCAGGTTTCTATAAAAGCTGTTGGGCGCTTATGGTATTACGTCATTTCATTGGCAACAGCATGCAAAAGCCCACAGTGCGCGTCCCCAAAACCCTAACAGAACTACAAACATAAAAGCATAAATATGTATATACAAATATAAATATGTCGACTTATAAACACTGCAAACAACCCACAGAACCCACAGCTAGAGGTAGATTAATTTATAAACATAAATATATGTATGTATGTATGTATGTACCTAAATTTATCACGCCCTCATAACGTGTCCCTCCCCAATACGTAATGCATTGAAGAATTCAAACATTTATTTGCGTTTTCAATTCAATTTGGTTGTTTTGTTTTTCGCATGACGGAATATCAAAAGTTAATCAGCTGCTAACCACACACACACACATACACATACTATTCACACATAAATATATATGTATGCATATACAATATGAGTGTACACAAGAGCCAAAAATGTCGAAAAACTTGCGATCAACAGTCGTGAATGGCATTTGTTGTTTTTTTGTTTTTTTGGCAACGACGCCAAAAGCCAAAGAAAGCTCAATTACAAGTTTTAAGGTGAAATTTCTATGCGCTAACACACATAAGCATAAGTAGATACTTCTGTGTGTGTGTGTGGGCTCGTGTATATTTTATGTTGTTTGTATTTAGGTCGCACTTACCCGTTAGTTGTTGTCGTGAATGAAAAACGCCATGTTGTATTGAAATTTGTTCATAAATAATAAATTAAACTGTAACGAGAAGAATTAAAATGAAATTAATTAATTTTGATTAGCGCAAAGTGGAAAGGAATCATATGCTGAATTAAATTAAATGAAAAATTATACGGCTCAGAAATTATGTAGTAGCATATATGTATATATGTATATATCTGTAACTTTGAATATATTTTCAAACAATTTTTGTTCCAAATTACAATATTATAGATACATACATGCATACATATACAATAAATATTTATAATACATAAAAAAAATAGCAAATCTCTTCGACCTCGGAGAGACTATTACTGAGGCCTAAATTTTTTGGTTACACTAAATCACTTATTACCTGGAGAATCTTTCTAATTAAAACTAAATATGTTATAAGTTACATCAAGTAACAAATAAATAAATACTTTAACTTTAGAGAGTAGCGAATCGAACAAACAAAATTGTATAAATCATATCGAGCAATCAAATTGTGAGAGAATAATTAGCGGTTGCAATCCCTTAATGAGGTGTACAATTGCAGTATTTTATTTGATTATGTAGATTAAACCGGAAAACTAGATCGCTGTTTCTATTTGTAAAATAATTTCCTCGTATATATAGTTAATTGTATCAAAAAAGATCAAAAAAGAAATTATTAAATATTTCAAAAGATGCGGGATGAAAACATGGGAGTTTCTTTAAACATTATTAAAGAAATTTGGCGTTACCACTTGATTGCAAGGCAAATGTTATACATAAAGAAAATATTATTTATGGTTGAATTAAGGCTTTAACTTATTTATTTAACTTATGAGGAATCTGGTGTACAAAATAGATATCAATTCAAAGATATGGACTCGAATACAAAAAAAAACATATATGGATGGCTATACCATATATACTTGTAGTAGTTGAAAACTAAAAAATAAAGAAAATTAAAATTAAAAATTAATAAACAAGAAACAAAATTAAAATTAAGATAATTATTTAAAAGCCAAATAAAAGAATATAAAAAATTAATACAAAAAAAAAATTAAGAAAAAAAATAATATTAAAAAAATAGACAAACAAAAGATAAAACAAAAAATATATATATATGTATTGCATAACAAAATCAATTTATATAAAGAAATATGAAATAAAAAGCAATACCAAAGAACATAATATTAATATGAAATATAATATATTTTACTCAGTAAATGTTGAGAATAATGTTTAAATGATATTACCGATCAGAATTTTTTTTTTACTTTTACTTTAATAAAACAACACAAATTAAAAATTAATTGTGAAGAAATCATATTATTATCAGTTTAAAATAACTAGAAAAAAATAAACAAAAATCAAGAAAAAATGTTAACTTCCTTTGCATCAAAGCTACAATACCCTCCACAGGGGCATTTTTTATAGCATAAAAGCGTATAAAATTATAGTTATCTTGATTATGTTAAGTCAGTTTCTATGACAGCTATATACTATATTAATCCGATCTGAAAAATTTCTTCGGAGATTGTAGCGAAGTCTTTGATAAAAATCTATGTCAAATTTCGTGAAGACAGCTTATCAAATAAAACAGTTTTCCATGCAAGCACTTGATTCCGATCGTTCAGTTTTCATGGCAGCTATATGCTATCGTGATCCGATATCGACAGCTCCGACAAAGAAGCAGCTTCTTAGTGAGACTAGAATGTGTGCAAAATTTCAGATCGATATCTCTAAAACTGAGGGATTCGTTCGCGTATATACAGACGGACAGGCAGACGCACATGCCTAAATCGACACAGCTCGTCACGCAGATGATTTATATATATGTATATTCGAGTATACTTTAAAAGGTCTCCGACATTTCCTTCTGTGTGTGACATAACATAATAACACGAAATTTTTGCACGCTTAAAAGCAAAATTAAATACATACAGATGTATGTACGCAAGCAATAATATCGCAAGTAAGCATTTTATAAACAAACTCAAACCTTCAATCTTAATAAAAACACACTTTGCAGTCATAACATTCGTAACATACCATACATACATACATATGTAGATATGTATATATAATAACATTAATATAGATTTGTATGTACACCCAAAGCAATACGGAGTATTTGTGCCTATAACTGTGTAAGTATGTTATCTACAATATCACTGCGCAAATGAAGGCATGGCCCAAGGGTATTGAGCATATAGCCAAACAAGAAATAAAAAGAGAACAGAGCTAACAAAACAGAGAAACAAGAAGAAGGGCCAAACATAAAAGGAAGTAAGGAAGGCAAGCAAAAGCAAACAAACAGCAAAAGAAAAAATCAGAAACCAGATTCATAAACAAAATAAAGGCAAACACAAAGGCACACAAAAGTCTGAAACCCGTATGAAATGTGAAAAGCAAAAACAGAAACCAAAAACAAAAAACAAAAAACGCAATAGATAAGCGCAGACAGTTTAGGTATATAGCGGAGAGGCCGATGGCCAAAACGAGTCAGGCAAAATGCAAACGGAAAGACAAAGAAAAAGCAAACCAAAAATAATATAAAAGAAGTGAGTAAGGCAAAAAACAAAGACGCAGCGCGAAGGTACGCAAATACAAAACGAGTATTTCAAGTCAAGAGCGCACATACAAATATACCACAAATACATACTTATATACATACCTACATATATACATATGTATGGGCATACAAGTGCGTTTGTACAAAACAGTCGCCCAGACCAACTGAGATATACATATACATATTATACGTGCATAAATACATTTTTCTGCATATACATATGTATGTGGGTATGTATTTGCTATGCCTGCCCCTCAATCATGAACGGAAGACAACAAATGTGTGTCAATTATTTCGAATTTTCCACTTCAAACCGCCTCATACCAAGCTCTAGGACAGAGGCTAGCAGAAAACAGGCGCACTGATAGCGACATCTATTTCCATACATATATCTATATATATACGTATGTATTTATTTAAATGGGTGGCTTTAATAGGCAAAAAGAATAGGTCGCTTGGTAAACATAAGCGAAATCCTTCCTGGCCAGCACGAATAATGTTGAGCAGGCTGGTGATAGGAGTTGGAAAAGAGTTGGGTAGTTTAAGGGGGCTTTAAGGAGCGCACATTTATATTGAGGGAGCGAATACATACATATGTAGATAAATATTCATATATAGTAACAAAAGTCTACAGGATATCGGTGACGAAATAAGCACTAGATGTTTAATGGTTGGCAAAAATCCAAATTAAATTTCTTATTGTTTCAAAATTTTATCAATTAGACTTGAAAATTAAAAAAGAAAACATAAGTGCACACATTCTTAGATTCCGTGACGACTTTTTCACCAACTGCTGATAATGAACTCTGAATACTACCAAGCCATATAAACGCTCTCAATGCGCACTGTCTATTTTTAGGCGGTGTAGAGGAAAGAGAATTACAAGCAAATGGAATAAATTTAAATGAGCTGTAATTTTTCCTATTTCTTCTGCTGCTGCATTTAGCACGGGTCAGTATACTGATATTTATCTCTATACTGCATGCTATAACAAATACATACACACCCATATGTAAATATATACATATGTACATATTTAATATGTATGTATGCATGTATTTGCAATGTCATTACTTTTATCAGCAGTGTAAACTACCGAAGATAAAAGGAATAAAGTACGAAACTCGTAGAAAATATGCAAAAGCTGCTTTGTATAGAACAAAGCAGCTGACAGGGTGAAAATTTAGAATGCAAAAAAGGGTATTCAAACGCAATAATAATTAAATCAGTAAATATGTACAGAAAAAAGTTTCTCCAAAAAGCTTAAAACTCACAAATTATGTAAATATATGCGTGCAATAAGTTATAATGCCCGAAAAATTCTTTAAAAACTAAAATAAATCGCTATGAGCTTGAGATGAACAAGGTGAAAATTAATATTTTGTATAGACGAAATGAAAATTTTAGTACTAGATAACGTTTGTTGAGCGAACAAGTACAAAAAAGTATCAGAATATTTAAAAGCCCTGTATCTCTCCCTCTCTCTTGCTCTAAAAGAGGTATACTCAAAAATGATAATATTAGAAATTTGACAGTTTCGCACTTGAAGATGTGGAAGGTTTTGTTTATAATTAGTAAAAAAAAAACGTCAAAGAGTAATTTTTTCTAAGAAAAAAAACTCTCAAACTGCATCCAGAATTTATATAGAATCATCATAAGATCCTAAGTGACAGCTACAAAACAGCTGATATGATGGTAGAAAGTTTGACAGTTCGTTTCGTTAAGACATCATTTGTGGCAATCTTCGAACAAACTTTTTAATCTTCAAGATCTGTCTTAAGTGAAACACAATTCGCAAAACACAATGTCAAATGACGTCGCATGTTTAATCATCAAACGCAATTTTTAATCTTCGAAATTTATCTTACGTACCACACAGTACGCTAAAAAAATGTCAAACAGCAATTTTTAGCAAATAAAACTGTCAAACAGCATCTAAAGTTTAGATGAAATAACCATATGCCCCAAAGTTATAGCTAAAAAAAACAGCTGATATGTTAAAATACACAGATAATTATCTGTAATTACCTGATAATTAATTATTTTAATCGATGTAAGACACGACGTTTGCTCAAAATCTAGTTCATATTATTACATTATCATTATACCCATTATAACTAATACATATGTAACTGCAGTCTTTGCTTAGCGAGTGGCAAAAGAACACAAGTTAAATTATATATAATATTACAACAACAACTTGTCAAATAGCTGATAAACTCGATTTAACCGATCAAAAGTAAAAAAAATCACTTAAATTGGTGAATAATAATTAAAATTATATTGTGCTTTTAACTTTTAATTCCATATTTGATTTAATTACGTTTTTTTACTAAAATTTTAACAAAATCACACAATTAAGTTTTAATTCTTTTTTTTTACACAAAAAAAACCAACTCATACTACCCCGTGCACAGAAAAACTAAAATGGAATAGAAATGTTCTTTCATAACTGATATAAAAAAAAGCTAACAGCTATTAACGATATCAAATATAATATTTATTTAAAATTCCAATATACACACCAATCGTTGTTGCTGCTGAAACAATTTCTATTAACACAATCGGTATATAGCAATATTTGCTTGCTGCCACAATTATATATTATTATTATGATATATTAATTTATTTTCTTTTTTTTGGAAATCAATTTTCTTTCATATAACAGAAAATTGCACAGCTGCCACAAATAACACAAACACTTTTCACTGTTGCTGCTTTTGTTGTTGTCTCTGCAACACAGATGATCGTCGTTGACGCTTTGAGTTTTCTATTGCATCACACAACACACACAAATCGCTATACAGATATGAAAGGAAATAGGAAAATCCAAAGCGTAGCTGTTATAAACTGAATTTATTTGCACTGCAACGCATAAAACATTTTTTTTGTAATTTTGATTGATGATTTTTTTGCAATTTGATTTTGGCGTTTACGTGAAACTATTACACACAAAACACATGATTCTCAACGCGAATGCCTATTAGAACCTTCATGTGATCGCATTGAAGGATACTAAAAGGTTATATTTGCTGCAATTGTTTTTATTGTAGATAATGATCGATGCTTTCTGTATCGTACTTTCACAAGTTTTTGTTTGTTTATTGTAATGTATTTTGAAATTTTGCAATTTATTGGCACTTGTATTAGTTTTTTGTTGATAATTGTATTTATTATTGTTGTTGTTGGTACTGTAAATGTTGAACGTTTGTGTTCGTCTTAATCTAAACTTTGCCTTCGCTTTTTGACGCAGATAAATTTCCATTGGTTTTTTGTCTGCAGAGCCAATGAAGCTGCCAACTCAACGTTTGTCGGAAACAATAATAACTATATACGTTTATATGTAGCTACGTAAACAACGAATGTCACAACTTTACAGTTCAAATGTAGATAACCGACTGATGACTGAGTTCAGCGCTAACGTGCAGACAAGTCGTCAGCTGTTCGGTGCCTGACTGGTTTTGTATTATTTCAACTTAGTTGTTGCTGTTTGTATGTATGTAAGTGTTTATTTTTTGTTCACAATTATTTTTTAAATTTTATATCACTAGACACTATAGTTAATTTTCCGACCGAATCCAACGCGCGATTGAACGTCCAAACGTCAACTGATGTGCGACCAGCGCAAAAAAGCGAATGTTTCTCGACAATATATAGACAATTCGTAATCAAGCTGGCAGCGAGCACAAATCTAGCTACATATGTATTTAGCTAGAGAGCGAGCTATACCTAGTGACAGACTCGACTGACCGTCAGGCAAAATACATAAACACCGTCCGTGGAAAGGCAGAAAACTCACAAGTTATTTATATTAATATACACATGTACATATATCTATATATAAACATACATATATACTGCTATGTATTATTGTATGTACACACACAGACGACAGCGTTGGCTTGTCGATAAATTTTACAACAACAAAACTGGTCTGCTGTGTGCTGATCGCACTGCTGCTGTCAGCTGAGTGTTATGTGAAAATGTGGTGTGGTTTAGAAAAAGATTGCGGCGTATGCGGCTTGGCCAGCGAAATTCAATGATTTTCAATTATTTTTTTATTTTATAATTATTTTAAATTTTAACTTTCTGCTCGCTATGTGACACACCTCCTTCCTATAATGCATGCGAGTAACGCGACTCTCACTTTACATTTATTTACGGTATGTTATCACACTGCTCTATCGACTGCACTGCACTGTCACTGTTACCGTTCGCTGCGCTGCTGGCGCCGCTTCTGCTTGTTCACTGCACTGAATTTACTTGTGAACTACTAAATTGGTGTCGCACACTAAATTGCAATTGAATTTTGCTACGTTTTCAGCGATTTCCTTTCGAATGAGTATCAAAATAAAAATCGAATTTAGCATAAATAAACAAGTATCCGACACAAGTAGACGTAAGAACTCACGCTCCCACACTTTCAGCGATTCAAGTGTCTAGAAATTGTGTATTATGGTTTGTTGCTGGCGTATCACTTTTACGCTTTTATGTTTATTTTTATTATAGTTGTTTTTGCACGTCCAAGTTAGCTTATAGGGGGAGCAATGCAAAGCACAAGGTATGTATGTTGGTATGTAAAAGTTGGAAGAAGTTAGCGAGTCAACAAATTCGCGTAGCTGCGGAAGATGAACTGCTGCTGTGCAGGCACTTTTTATTTCGGAAATCCAGCAATCAAACGACCGACGAACTGATTATATCTGTCTTTTGCTCGTACATACATATACATATGTATTTCTTTCTTGCTTTATATTTATAAAGTGTGCTGTGGACTGGCGTGCGCTTTCAATCTGTGAATTCTCAACAGCAAACTCCTTCCACCGCACACAACTTCAGAAGGCACCCACACACACACTCCGAATCACGAATTCACGACTGCTCTGCTCTGCACTTCTCCAACAATACTAAAGACACACTGCACTGTTCTGTTCACTCACTCACTCACTGCAAACTCAGCTGCTTCTTTCGACTGCAATTCTGGTCTCTGCTCAACGATGTTGTCACTAGCGTTGTATCTGTTCGACTGAATTCCAAACGCAACGCATTGACTTTCTAAACAGCTGAGCGCGACCATAGTCAAGCCAGTAGGAAAATTTACTTATTTACATATAGTACATACATATATATGTATACAGCCAAACAACGCAATAAATTGTACATATATAGCACTTGAGCTGAAAAGTAAAACCAAACGCAATTACAATAACAAAATAGCCAACATAAGGGAATATAAACATGTACACACACTCAGACGTACATGTGTACATGGAGCGTGAAAATATTTTTATACAAGTCGCACAAGCAGAGAGACTGATTTTGAAAGAGAAATGCAATAAATGGTAAAACAAGAGCGCACGGCTTCAATTACGAAATAATAAATTTAGAAGGCGACATTTTGCTATGGCAGAGGCGTAACTAATATATTTTTATTTTATTACAGGGCAAATTTAAGGATTTTACCAAAAATAATATACACGATAATTTTAAAATATGCAATTAATAATTTGCTTTATCGGTTGAGTGAGACGTTTATCGTGTGAAAAACGAACAAGTTTAGTAACTCTTGTTCTAGGTAATCGATTTTTAATCTAGTTTTATTCTTGAAAATAAATTTTTTTAGCTGACTTTCTAAAATAAAATAGATTAGCTCAATATTTTACAAAATTTGTAATTCAAAACTTTTTTCCATTTTTAAAATTTATCCCATGTTATATGTGTATCACTAAGGGTTTTGGTTTTTTTTTTTTCAAGTTTAAACCGAAATAAGGTTCCTTAATATTTTAAATTAAAAAAATACAGTATGTTTGGAACAAAAGAAGGTAAGTTTACACCAAATTTCGTGAAATAAAATTTTTTGTATAAAAATAAGAAGCTCAAAAACTTGGATATTTGAATTTTTCACATAAATGTTAAGATTATGGATAAAAGGTGTTAATACAAAAGTTGTAGATCTTTTCATTACCTACAACTCTGCCACATAACTTTTTCTATGGAACCCGTAGTTTTGAAGGAAATCGAGTTTTACCGTTTTTGACGCTTTAAAATTCAACCACTCCCATTCTCTTCTTCTTCCCGACTTAAATTTTTTATTTTATTTTTCATTTCTAATGGGCTTCAACCTACTATGAATTACTTTGACTTTAGGAACGTCCGATATATTTAAGGACAATTTTTATTAAGACGGAAATTAACTCGAAGGATTGTCATTAGCTGCCACGGATCGACAAGACAGTCGATTGTATTTCAAAACCACTACTCAAAAGTATACTTTTCAAAACCAAATGGCTAACTTTTAGTGTTAATAATTCAAGAGTTAAACGTAATGTTGGTTTTAATATTTTGAAATTCCTCTAAGAAAGCAGCTGTGGGCAAGGTCACAAGTATGTACATATATAGCATTTAGTATCAGTATTTAGCAAGTAAAAAGCAAAATGACTTCAGAAAGTATCTTTGAATTGTTTAAAAGTAGTGTACGACGCAATTCCCATAGTGGCAGAACAATAACCCCACACAACAAACATCTATGCAAATAAAATACATGCATACGTATATATTTACAAAATATCTATGGGCCAAGAACGCAAGAGTAAAAACCAAAGGAAATTGAGAATAGAGAGAACTAAAAAACATAGGGGCAATAAAATACAAAGCACATACACACACATACATATATCTCCACTTACCAATTTGTATAGAGAAATCTCACCGCAGCAACATAAGCAAATACAAGCAACATGTTGCTCAATGGATGGCAACGCGAAACCAGTTTAATAGGCGAGAAACCTGGAGAGCGATAGACAGATAAGGGGTATGCAGCCACACTTATATATATATGTATGTACAAATGAATTTTGTATATCATGTTGATAAGCTGAGTTTGTTGCGTGGCAGGAGGTTGTGACAGATAAGCAGCAGCAAGTCAGACAAGAAGGGTTGCTTCACAAATCATATGGTTTCTTTGCAAAGGTAAACAGTTGTGTGTGAATGTATGTAGATATGTCTGTAGACATTTATATTTATACAATATTAATAAAAAAAAAAAACGTGTTTAACACTTGGACCTCATTTTTTGACACACATGCTTATGTTTACACATATTGGAGAATATAAGTACGTATGTATGTCAGTAAAATATATTGCCATAAAAACTTACTCGATTGCCTAAGAAATTAATGAACCAGTTCTCTGTTGCTCTAATGAAAATGAGAATACTGCGTCGAACTTGTAGTGACAATAGGTTCAAGCATAAGGGGTTAGCGAACACTTTATACGGTTAGCGTTGCCAGCAATATTTCATTCATTTTTTCTTCGTTGCTTAAAGTGGAATTAAAAAGAGAAAGAAAATTTAAAGCTTTGACATGGAATTTTGAAATTCGTGGTGAATAGAAGCTAACTCAGTGGTAAGGTAAACTATCAAAAGCTTATGCATAAGTCCACATGAAGAAACAAAGACTAAAAAGGCGTGGCTGCCAAAGCTCCTCTGAGGCAAGTAACCTTCGAGGAAAATTTGTTATAACTACACGAAAACACTTTTCGCAACCTAGAGTCAATCAAAATATCTGACCAATATATGTATGTATAGATCCAAATTTTCTAGTATGTAATTTTTATTTTTTACGTAGTTTTAATGTAGAGCATTAACCTTGCTTTAACGAATTTCTTGATGGTTGTCAGGCTTTATACATATGTACCCATGTCGTAATCGGCTATTCAATTTTTAATAGTGAGTAAGGTTTCCAGAATATCCAAAACCATCATTTGATCATGAAATAAAATCTAATTGAATAGCAATAGAGGATAAATTAAAGTTGAAAAACCCCCTACATTAACCCAAGGTTACACTATGGCCAGTCACTACAACCCGCAAAAGAAATTATTAGTTCATAATTTCATTGAGTTCAAGCAATAAGCTTCAATTCGGTACAGTTCGGGAAACTTGTGACGAGTAAAGAAAATGACATTTGTTGCCCAAAAATATCTCAATGTATCATTTTTCAGTGTGTAACTCTCAACTTTTTCTTCACTAGTTTGAAGCTGTGTCAAAGTAAGCAAGAATTAGACGTGGATCCGCGTTGTCTCTTAATAAATAAGTGGTTTTTATGCCACGTATCTAATTTTTCATTATCGTTTGAAATATACCAAAACTTTAGGTTAACTTAACAAACTGAACTAAACGGTAGCACCGTTTATGAATGAATATTATAGTGAGAGCGCCAGGCTCTCATCTGTGAAAAGACAACAGAGAGTATACAAAAATCAGAAAAACCAAAACAAAATCATATGTTGACTTTGCTTCTGCTTTTGAAATGTCGCCTTTATTTCTGACCTGCGCCAGTGGTGGTAGGCAGACTTTGTTGATCGTTCACAATTTTAGCCCCTCACAGCTGATGTGTTGCTCGATTACGAGTGTGCGATAGCAGAATGTAACAAAAAAAAAAAAAAAACCAAGCGAACGGATGGATGGATTGATGGTTGAACCTACGGAAACCGAGTCACGCAGTTTATGATTTTATATTTTTATTTTTGCTGTCTGTCTTTATGACTGTTGCCCGTTATGGCAAGGTCCAGCTGTGTGGTGGCCATGTATGTGCATGTATATGGTGATATTTTTATTTATATATATAAAAGCATATGCAATATACATACATATATATATACTATATTTGTTTGTGCCAATGTTAAAAAGTCCGAGAACTTCATCTGGTACCCCGTCAAAACAGCAGAATTTTATCAACAGCAACCACGCATGTGCTGCTCAATCATTTGGCGCACCAACAACTTTTAAGGTAACGCAGGCAAGTGCCAAACAGTAAAATTGTCGACAGAGTCGACCGCAGCGACGTCAACGCTGGCAGATGGCAGCGCCGCAGCGGTTCGAATTACACAGCTGATGCGATGGCAAAACAAAGGGAGCAAATTTTAAGGCATAGGAACAGTATAAATACTTACATACATAAATATTTCAACATCCATATATGCATATGTTCATATACATAAGTATGTATGTGTTTACACACCTTGTAGATGTGGGGTTATAAGAGTACGTATGTATGTATGTATTTATTAAACTTTTCTTTTTAGAAGTAAAGAAAGCACTAAATAAATATTTGTAGTGTAGTGGAAAACAAATGTATGTACATATGTAAACTGAACTATACTTACATACCATACATATGTACGTACATATGTATGAACTTAAGACTTATTACTGTTATTCCTCCAGGATTTTAAGTAACCACCGTTTTAAGGATTTTGGAAGAAGTGCTGAGATGGTACCTATAGGTACAAATATAGATTATGTATGTATGTATATGCGTATATGTATCTACATACATACATAATAAATAAGTCGCATGTAATTGCAGATCATAAACATGAAGTGAGACAAAAGTTCAATGGAAAATTTCGTGTCATTGTGCTCTGCGCTCTTACCATGTTCTTGTCACATTCGCCTTATGTACGTTTGATAAGCGCATAGCATCTTTGAGTTCATGGATTGTGTTTGCTGAAACTTAACTTTTACACGTGTACTGAATTGTAGCACTGCTTTAGGGGATCTCAATTTGGCGAAAACAAAGAGAATGCATTTTCGAATTTTGCGTGTTAGTGACCTATCCGAATGTGAAGAAGGGGTTAGATTGAACAAAAAAGTATACAGCTTCAAACAAAGAGTGGAAAAAAAATCTAATAATTCATATCGTATTTATAATCGCAATAAAAACAAGAAACAACATTATTTTCGCGGCACCGAAGCTATTATACACTTCACAAGAGCCTTTCTTATCGCATAAAATAGTTTAAAAATATTTTTATCATGATTTTGATCAATCAGTTTGTATGGCAGCTGTATCCAATAATGGTCCAAAATTTTTATTATCATTCGAAAGAACATTATTTGGCATTTATTTTTTGAAGATTATCTCTTTCAAATGTTGTCCGCTTCTACGTCTCAGACGGCCCATCCGTTGAGTACAATTTTCGATGAGTCGTTCGAGCATTTCGACTGGTAACTGGCGAATGACACGCGTGATGTTTTGCTCCAAGACCTGAATCGAAGCGGGATTGCCCGCATGGACTTTAGACTTTACATATCCCCACAGGAAAAAGTCTAATTGTGTGATATCACACAATCTTGGTGTCAATCGACCGGCCCAAAACGTAAAATTATCTGGTCACCGAAGTGTTCTCTCAATAAATCCATTGATTGATGCGATGTGTGGGAAGTGGCACCGTCTTGTTGAAAGAAATACGGACCGATGATTCCACCTTCCTACAAACCACACCAAAACCGTTGTTTTTTCTGGATGAATGGTAGCTCTTAAATCTTTTCAGGTTGCTCTTCGTCCAAAATATGCCAATTTTGCTTGTGTACATACCCGTTTAACCAAAAATGGGCCTCATCGCTGAACAAAATTTGGCTCGGATCTTCTTAGAACTTTTCAATAGCCCATAGGGCGAAGCGATTTCGCTTGGGAAGGTCGAGCGGCTTCAGTTTTTACACAAGCTGTATTTTATACGCTTTCAATTTAAGATCCCGATGTAAAATGCGCCAAGTCGAATGAAATAATAAAATACCAAACAATACTGAACAAAAACCACATGACTGCTTGACACGACAAATTCTTTATTTTTTTGTTTTTGGTATTTTGAGATATTGTTGGTAAATTTCCATACTACAATTGAAGTCGCTTAACTCTGAAAAAATCGTTGAGTTTGTGTTGTTGTTTTAAATGATTTTCGTGATTTTAGTGAGCATTCTTTTGCAGCTTGCTTACAAGAGAACAAGGTTAAATTTGTTGGAATAATTTCGGTTGAACTTGGTACATACGCATAAAAAAGTACTAATTTAGTCGAAGGGCAAACTTATCTATATGTTTATGCATACACATACATAACTATACATGTAGTCAGTAATTTTTTCTATACATTTTTATATATCCATATGTATGTATGTATATAATTGCTTAATTCTTCAATTGCTTAGGCCTTAAGGTATTCTTTATTGCTCCGATAGCATAAGGTTTAAATATTATATGTATACATTTAAATATATTTACATGCATGAATGTGTATATATATTTATAAAGTGCAAGAGCAAAATGAATATAAAAACTAAAATAAGGTACTAAAGAGCGTAAAGAAGAGAAAAAATTCACGTTATGACAAAATGTGATGCGCATTAGTGTGCGCTCGGCACGCGCAGGTCCACACTCTTGCACACACATTCAACCAAACACAAGTACAAGTAATATGTAAACGGATGTGTGTATATACACACACATAAAAGCACAGAGAAATACATTCAGATAATGATTAAGACATATTTATAAACAGTTAGCCTCAATCAGCTGTTTTGATAATTCATTTCAGACATTACGAAATTGACGTTTGCATGTGTGTATATATGTATAAGTGTGTATATACATGACGCTGGCAACGTTGAATAATGAAAATTGGGGAATGAGCATACGAGTACATACGAATGTGCGTATGTTCCGGGTAAAATAAAATGCATAAATTGTATGATAATGATTACTATATTGTATCGAAAATAAAGTATCGGAATTATTTAATGAAATGATAATGATAATAAAAGAAGAGCTTGTTTGCAACACCCAGAAGTCGCGACTAGTCTCGCAGTTCTTTTCTTACCAAGAAGCTGCTCATTTGTCGAAATCGCCGATAGCTGTCATACAAACTGAACGATCTAAATCAAGTCCGTATATGGAAGGTTTTTATTTGTGAAGGGTGTTCCAGCTTTGGAACAACCGAAGTTAACGTTTCTTCTTGTTTTGTATATATTATTAGAACAATACCAGACAACGATGTGCATTTTGCGGCAACTACTCTTTAGATATCGAAGAAAGTGATCATACGAATAGAATTGTTAACATATGCCTGCATAGTTTCTGAAAAAGTAATTTTTGAGCGAGCATTGAAATAATGGTGGGTGTTGTAGTTATACATATATATCTTAAGTTATGCAAAATACCAAACAAGTTTAACACACATTGAAATGACAAAGTGGAGCATATTT